CTGTGACATCCCTGCCCTGGGGAATAGTCAATTGACAATCCTCAGAGAGGCTATATTGAGCTCTTAAATGTTAGCTCCCTTATAATATGAATACAAGAATATTTTCCAGTTAAATTAGAAATAACAATACAAGAAAAAGTAATTAGAATATTCAGAAAATTTAAAAAATTATTATAAGAAATGGAAGCAGAAATACAATAAGAACTATTAAAATTATATCCAATAAGGAATGTGACAAAAATTAAGTAATTTTTTAGAGGAGGAGGAAATAAAAAATTTAAAATTAGATATAAAGACCTGATTAAATATATAATAAGAGGAGGAGAAAGGGGATAAGCTTTTGATAAAAAAATTAGGTGAAAAAGACACTATTCTAAAACTATACCAAAGTAAACAGTATATTGAATTATTAAAAATAGCATCATATATAGACTACAAAATGCAATTTAAACCATTACAATATTGGTATAACAAGAAAATAATGACAACTAAGGAAGATGAAAAAATTCTTGAAGAATTACAAGTCTATTTAAACATCCAACTGCACTATAACCAAATTCAGAAATTTGGCTATATGTTAGGACTGAATAATTGAAGATGGAACCACAAAAATTAATTATTATAATTTTATTTATAAATATTGATTAACTAAAAATATTACTTGGACAATAAATAGACTCCAACAAGCACATTATTTATACTTTGATGAATTAATTAGACAATCCTTCAGCATATAACCAGAAGATACTGCAGTAAATAAACTCTTTATTGAAGTAGGAATACAAATTTAACAACAGAACTTACTAGAAATTTCAGTAATGAAATAGGGCCTTTGCAGTAGAAAGGGCTCAAACTCCCCTAAAAATTAAAATTGAATTTTTTTAATATTTGGATTAATCTTGAGATGGACTGTAATTTACAATTATAAATGGAAATAGGTTGGCATAATAAAAAATTGAGATATTTTAAAAAAACCTTTTTAGAAAACTTGTACGTTACGAGATTACCTGATATAACCAACCAATCAAATTGTAACATTTGGATCAGTCTGAAAAAAATAAACATGATTTTTTCAAAATTATATATTTCAGAGTTTTGGCCCTTTCTACTGCAAAGGCCTCAAATGCCCACCATCACATCAGTATTCACTAGAATTTGGAAAAATAAACCCGCAATATACATTTGTACACACATTTATTTACTCCTATCCATATGAAATAATCAAAGAACCAAAAATAACTCAGCAGACTAAATCTTGTTATCATTGGACATGATGCAACCATACACAAGCATTGGAACTAATATTAATACCCAAAATCAGGAAAAGTTTAAATAGAAAATTTTATAGAATAACAGCATACCATACTATTAAAGAACAACAATTAAATAAACTGAAAATTGATTACGACTCAGAAGGAGAACCTAATACAGAGAAAATAATGCCATATAGTAACCAAGAAATGCAGCAATTGGAACAAAGCCTAGATACCTTAAAAACATTTCGAATAATGAAATCATTTTTATGGCATAACCGTGAATTAAAAAGAAATCAAGAACAAAGCAAATACTTAGCTGAAATGAAAAGAAAGATTAAAGCTGCGCAAAAAGGGAAACATTTACACATATTCCCTAGGAAAATAAGAAACCGAATCCTCAATATATTAGGCGTAAGGCCTCATGTTTACAGAATAAACCAACCCGATATATACGTACATATACAGAATCAAATATTTAATTACCACGTAAAACGAAATGAAGAATTAGAAAATGGACGAATTAAAAAAGAGGAATAATTAAAATCCGACCATACGAAGATCCGAATCGATTACACGATTCTATAGAAAACTTAATACAGGAATACTATTTTTATGAAATGCACTAACTAAAAAAAAATATATATAGTTGGTTATATCGTTAACCCGAAAGGTTACAAAATGATATAACGATCACCTTCATGAGATGATATGGGATCTTTGCTAGGAAAATCACCCTCCGACATTTTCCGATCGGGCTAATTCGGACAATTTTAAACCAACATACCGGTTCTTATTTACATGTAAATCATATTTTCACTTCTTGATTCAATAGCTTATCGAATGAACGCTTGAGTCAATAAGGCAAAAATGATTTACATGCAAATAGGGACTGGTATATAGGTTTGAATTTGTCCGAATTAACCCGATCGGAAAATGTCGAAGGGTGATTTTCCTAGCAAAGATCCCAAATTATCATATTTTATATGTAAAATTTTATTTCTGTCATCTTTAATTAGTGCATTGAGTATCTTCGCTTTTTTCTTTTTAGTTTTCAATATCAGTTTAATCTAGGATTAGTGATTGTACCCGGTTAATAATAAAATAAAATAAAAAGTGGATATCTTATACTATCCCCACTGTAGAAATTTTTCTGGCGATCCTGGGGTAGTTGCTGATTGGATTCTGATCACGTGCGGGTGGCAAACACCAAAAAAAATGCACACAAAAAAGAAATCTATACGCGCTTTATATATACGGAGAGCGCTGATATATGCGCAAATTTAAATCTATGTGCGCTGCGCCTACTGCGCGGATCCAATTTACATCACTGGTTAGCAGGACCCGGTTACTTATAACTCTAGTCAAATTTGCAGATCAATTGGAATCAAAAACATTTTGAACTTGGCCAAACGATCGGCAAATTTGTCCAGAGTTATAAGTAATCGGTTCCGCTATTTCAGTATTTCAAAATTAGCCTTAATACTAACGCTAATGTGTGACGATAATAAAACGCGGATTTCCGATTTACAAAGCGGATTTCACTATTTCGAAACTCAGGTTTCACCCTGTTTATAATAAATAAATTTGTACTAGGCAATTATTTGATGATCATGGCAAAACGCACTAATTTTCAAAAAAAAGATTTTTAATTTTTCTATGAAAACTTAGTCTTATTTAGGGTTGAAGGCATGAAAAAAAATTTGAACATGCCTCGGATTGAGGCATACTCCTTATAGTGCTTCGGATTGAAACATACCTTTTATAGTGCTCAGGACAGTTTAAGAATGTATCAACATGTAAAATTCATTTATTTTTTTATTATTCGTCTGTTTATATCTAACATCTTTATTAAGTTTTAGCAGAAACTATTAAAACTTTCCTTGTTGATCGTATAGATGGAAAATGCGCTTTTATAATACAGTATATGTATTAATGAGTATTAATGCGCATCTTTAATCGATCGTCTTCGGATGACCATTTTGAATTCATTTCAATAAATTAATGCGTTTATGAGTGTATCAAAAAATAAAATAAGCCATTAAAATAAAAAATCCTATAAAATAATTTTATTCCGTTAAAATTTTTCTTTGAATAAGTATCGTTAAATATATCAAAAAATAACAAAGTATTTAACGTATGTTAATAAAAATGACACAAAGATTTAGCCCTTTACAAACCATAATATTTGGATTTACAAAAAGAAACATATTTATCATTATATCAATTTTCTTATTATGGAGCTTTGTCGATATTACCTTAAAACTAGGAGAACAAGAGTTGAATAAGGTAAAACATTTCTTAAGATATTTTAAAAGATAATACATTAAAATTAACGATTTTAAATATAGGAAATACATAATATTAATAAATATATTAAGGAGAATACATTTAAAGATAATATGTTTGAAGAGAATACACTTGAAGAGAATACATTTGAAGAGAATACACTTGAAACGAATATACTTGGAGAGAATACGCTTAAAGAGGATACAATTGAAGAGGATATAATTGAAGAGGATATAATTGAAGAGGGTATAATTAAAGAAAATACAATTGAAGAGGATATAATTGAAGAGGATATAATTGATGAAAATACAATTGAAGAGAATACGCTTAAAGAGGATACAATTGAAGAGGATATAATTGAAGAGGGTATAATTAAAGAAAATACAATTGAAGAGGATATAATTGAAGAGGATATGATTGATGAAAATACAATTGAAGAGAATACGCTTAAAGAGGATACAATTGAAGAGGATATAATTGAAGAAAATACAATTGAAGAGAATGCAGTTAAAGAGGATATTACTAATTCATCTCTTGAAACGCCGCTAACAGAGGATGAAAAGATCAACATAAAATATTGTCAAGAGAAAACATGTAAATTCTTATTTCCATACTTTCACCCAGAACAAGAGTCTCGCGCCAATGTTCATGCTCGTGTTTACACGCAATTAGCACGAACTCTAAATCGTACATTAGTCCTATCAAACGTTGGAGATTCAAGAATTAGAGCATGTACTCTATATACGTTTGACTTCTATTATGATTTAAAAGCATTCCGAAAACGTTATCCAGACATTCGATTTATAACACAAAATAAATTTTTTGAATGGACAAAAGAAAGAAAAATCCGACCAATTGCGCAAAATTCATGGATGATTCAAGACGGTAGAAATGATTCTTTAAGTGTTCGAGAAAAAAAGATTATGAGTGTCGAGGAAGGAGTTAGATTTGGAAGTAAACGATTAGAATCTTTTTGCATAGATGTATTTAATCTAAACATCACGAATTATAAAGAATTTCATACAGGAGTTAAAAAAATAGATCATGAAGCATTGTTGAAATTTGTTACAAACACTCTGAAAACTCCACCGATGACGGAAGAATATGAAGTAATCATGATATTAAATAAGTCACCTAGAGAATATTTTCCATACATCTCTGAACCAATTCCATATTCACCATATATTCTTAAAGAATCTAAGAGAATTATAAATAAATTAAAGCCATATATAGCTGTTCATTGGAGAATGGAACAAGTTGAACCAAAATTAATGCCGGAATGCGCCAGGAAACTAGTTAAAACATTAAAGAAAATTCAAAAACAATACGGGATAAAGAATGTATATTTGGCAACAGATTTTCCACTTAATGGCGGTAAATCTCAATCAGATACATTTTATATAATTTCTAAATTTCATGAAGAAGCTATTAAAATACTTGGATTAAATGACAGCTTTGTAAATAGCCCCAATCATATAAAATACAATACTTGGCTTTCAATGGGCGCGTTTTCACAAATTAGAGACGACCCAAAATACGAATCAGAATTTAAAGGATCTGGTATACCTGGAATACTTGATAAATTAATTTCCATAAATGCAAAATATTTCTTAAGGGGACCAAAAGGTTGTGCTAGGATACGTAGTACTTTTACACAAATTATCGTTGAGGAAAGAAAAAAGTTGAAGAAGAAATATGGTTTGATTAATACTGTTTCCGTTTGGTGAAGTTTCGGTGTAACGGTTGGGCTATGAAATCTAAAAGCAGTAATCTCTCATTTTACCGAACCTTTATTCATGCATTTTTACCAAGGGAAGATACATTATAATATAACCAGTGTTGGCAACAATAGAATAATAGAACAATTCAGATTTCTTTTGCTACTTTATATATATACAATTTTATTAAAGAGTTTCAATTATTATAAATCGCATCAATGGTGTTGAACACCATATAATTTTTTATTATCTCTTCGTGTGTTTTGCAGGCAAATTTGCCTGCAAATTTTACTTTTTGCATAATTACTAAAAAGTAAATATAAAAAAGTTCTTTAAAAAATATTTAAATTAATTTAATTAGATTTATATAATAGTTTTGTAAAGCATTTATTACAAAATATATGTTAATAATAGCTTGGTATTAATTAGAAATCTGTATATTTAGAATTATTATTAAAAATAATATCTTTTAAACTGTTTTCCAGGCAAATTTGCCTGGAATTTTTAAATTATTTGATTGTAGCACCAAATCATAATACTGTAATAAGTAAAAGCTCCTCTAACGCTAGAACCGGGAGAACCTGACCAATCATATGATAATAAAATTTCCAGGCAAATTTGCCTGTGATTTTTTTTTAAAAAAAGTTGATATAAATATTTAAGATCAACAAGAGGGACCGTCGCACTAGACCAGTGAGTTTAATTAAAGTGTGTCGAAAGGTTAAGATATTTAGATAAATTTATTATTGGTGTTATATTTGAATTTTTGGTAAAAAATAAATAAAATCAGATTATTATTCGGAAATATTGTACATTGCGAAGAGGTAATGTGATAAAATATTCATATAAAAAATTGAAATTTACTAACCACATTAAAAAAATTTTGGTAATAAAAAAATATTAACTTTTATATATTATATAAATTTAATATTTGTATTCTATAATATATGAGTTTCAATGGTCTGAACAAATTGGATTGATGTTTTTAAAAATTATGAAGTTTACAATTCAAAATTTTATATGTTTTATATATAAAATTTGTAGAATTGACTTTAAAATTAAATATAAAATTTAAATTTTTTTTTAACAATTTAACTATAATTATTAATAGCATTACTATTATATTTTATGGGCAATGTAAAATAAAAAATTATTTTTATAAAAAAAAATAAGTTTTAATATAACATAAATTTACAATTCAAGGTTTGGGCCCCGTAGCTTATTGGTTAAGCTCCCAAACCCCCACAGACAAGGTCAACGGTTCAAGTCGGGCTGGTGACAAATTTTCGAATTTGTTACTGTAACCATATGGAGCCATAATCGAATGCGAAGCCCTGTGGAAAGTCCAAGTGCAAG